TGACCGTGCTCTCGGACAGCGTACTTAGCGTGGGCCCTGGGGCTGACCGTGCTCTCGGACAGCGTACTTAGCGTGGGCCCTGGGCTGACCATGTTCTCGGACAGCGTACTTAGCGTGGGCCCCGGGGCTGACCGTGCTCTCGGACAACGTACTTAGCGTGGGCCCTGGGGCTGACCGTGCACTTGGACAGTTAACTTACCGTGGGTGCTGGGGCTGACTGCTCTCGGACAGTGTACTTACCATGGGCACTGACGCTAACCACTCTTGGACGGTGTACTTAAAGTGGGTGCTGGGGCTGACTGTGCTCTTGGACAGTGTATTTACAGTGGGCCCTGGGGCTGACCATGCACTTGGACAATGTACTTACCGTGGGCCCCCAGGCTGACCATGCACTCAGAGCAGAGCACCACTACCTCAGAGTGTCCCTGCCCGCTCTGGGGCCTTGGTTTCCAGTCTGGAGTGGAACAGCACTGAGGTGAGAATTGCAGGTGAGGGAGGAGAGAAGGCAGGTGGCTGGCGTGGAGCAGTCTCAGCATAAACCAGGTGCTGCTGCTTGTGCTACAGACATGGTTGGACAGTAAGTGAATGAGTTACTCTGATTGCTCCCAGAGACTTGCACTGAGCGTGGTTATCATCAGTTAGGGTTGCCGTTAACCTGCTGCCATCCAGTCGCTTCCAACTTGTAGTGACTCCCCCGGGGTTTCCAAGGCTGTTAGTCTTTACAGAAGTAGACTGCTCATCTTTCGTCCATGGAGCAGCTGGTGTGTTTGAACCACTGACCTTTTGGTTCGCAGCTGAGTGCCTTAAGCACTGCATCACAGGGTCCTTGGGATTACCGTTACTCCCCTTTCACTGCAAATGAGCAGCACGAGTGGACCAGCCCCGCTCAGATTTATGTCGTCATGTCGTAACCACGTTGTCAGGTAGTAAAGCCCTCACGTTTCAGGTGTGGACACGGAGGTCTGGGGTCACGTAACCTGGCCAGGGTCCTCAGCTAGGAAGCAGTAGAGGTCCCCGAGCTGCTGCACCCCCACGTGCCCTGTGAAGAAAGCAGTGTGCTTGCAGGTCAACTTCCCACTGCCTGCTCCCCGCCTTGTTGTCAGGTGCTGGCAGGTCGGCTCTGACAGCACCCCCGTGCCCAGCAGAATGAAACGCTGCCCGGCCCTGCGCCGCCGTAGCCAGCGCCAGCCTACCTTGCAGGGCGCCTTCCTCTTTTTCGCCGACCCTCTCCTTTACTGAGCGTGGTGTCTTTCTCCAGACCCTGGGCTTCTTCGACCCTTCCTGCTTGAGTTTAGGCACTTGAAGTTGGAGCTCTTTCTTTCTTTTATTAAGATTGAGTTTCACGTTTCTGAAACATGTGAAGCAATTTGCTTGGACTCAGTCATGAGCCTGCACCTGAGGTGCTCCCCAGTTTGTGCCTGGGTCCCCAAAAGGCTTGTCTGCAGCTCCCTTCCCGAACAGGTCAGTGTAAAAATCTCTGGGTTGAATGTCCAGCTCCTCCTCACCCTTTCACGTCAGGTGAGTTTGCCCCCACTCGGAGACAATTGAACCAGTCCCGCTGGCAGCAAATTCTTCAGTACAGTCACTAGCACCGGCTGCAGGAGTAGCTTTTAAAGCACCGAGAAGGCTTCACCCTTTCCTTGTGCTGAAGTGAGGCTTAGTAAGAACTGCATGTTCCTGTCCCGACTGACCTGCAGGTTTGGCCTAAAGACAGGAAGGGCTCTCAACAGCGACCCGTTGGTTTGTCACCTGGGGATTGGCTGGTGTGTTGCAGGCTGGCAGGTGTTTTCTGCAGTCCCAGTGGTATGACTGACAACTGGTGGGGGCACCTTGGGTTTGCATAGCAGTTTATTGATTTATAATGGCCTTGGTTTCCAAGGCTGCCGTTAGACTATGGAATGTGAGGGTGAGAATTTGTCAGATTTCAAGTGAGGCTGTAAAGGACCGTCACGGATAGATAGCGTTTGTTGTCTGCCTCCTGAGGAGCGCTGGTGGTGCTGAGGTTAGCACATTCAGCAGCTAACCAGAAGGTTGGCGGTTCGAACCCTCCAGCTGCTCAGTGGGAGAAAGATGAGGCGGTCTGCTTCTCTACAGATCTATAGCCTTGGAAACCCTCCGGGGATCACTATGATTCCGAATCCACTCAAGGGCAGTGACACATTCTCGGCACAGAAAGGACAGGCTGTGTGAGGCCAGTTACCAAGGACAGGTGGGAGAGGAGGCCAGTTTGTCACTAGCCCAGAACAGGGCTTCAAACCGGTTCATTCCAGGTCCACCCCCTGCTTGGAGTTTGCTTCTGTAGCCCAGATCCAGTGGGTCAGGATCTCCACGTTGACTCCTGGCGGTTGGGGTCTTGTTAATAGGGAGACTCTGGTTGAATCTTTCTGGGGTGGGAGGCACAGTCAGCAGGGGGTGAAGCCAGCGTGAACCAGTTTGAAGCCCTGGCCTCTCTCGCTCCACCTTATCAACTGTGTTTACAGCAGGTGGGTGCCCACCCAGGCTTGAGGGGAGGATACCAGAGGGTGTCCACTCTGAATGGAGATAGAGACTTGTAAAGGACACCCTCAGTCTTCCACGTGAGCACAGCACGTGAGCGGGGCAGCTTGCAGCCCAAGTCCCTCTGCACACCACGCGCGGCACGGACACAGTGGCCCTGGTGCTGGGAGCATGGACGCCTCTGAGCACCGGAGGTACCTCGGCTGCCCCTGGTGTTGTGTGGTCTGGAAATTGTGTTCTCAGGGAGCAGCAGGTGGGACTGACGGGGCAGTCAGAGTGAGGTCCACGTACTGAGGTGTGTGTTTAGTCCAGGGGACGCCCTGCAGTCAGGTCCTGGCCTCAGCCCCCTCCCGAGGACGCCAGCAGAGTGCCCATCTTTGGCTGTGGCGCCCAGCGGCCGGCGCGCGTATTCCCGACTTCCAGGGTGGTTCACCTGGAGAACTGGAGCAGCTGCCCTCATGGGGCACAGCTTGCTGCTCACTCTTGGTGGCACTTCAGGGACATTTGGGAGGGGAGGCAGTCTCCGGGCCACACCGCTGCCAGGCTGTGCCCACACACACTTCACTGTGTAGACCTCACTCTTGGGGTGCTGGTGTGAGCTTGACTGCCTGTCTTTCTCCCCAGTGGCACAGCCAGCAGTGAGTCTGCAGCGCAGAGTCCAGAGCTGGGAGACGCTGAACAGGGCCAAGTGGAGTGGAGGTCCTGATTCTCCCTGTCAGGTCAGGAGCGCGGGCCAGGAGGGGATGGGGCGGGCTGGCCGCCCATGTTGCTGACTGCTAAACCTCTCTGCCTTCTTTTGTAGAACCGTGGGTACCGATGGATGTGGCTGAGAGCCCTGAACGGGGTCCACACTCTCCAGAGGAAGAAGAGGAACGGCAGCAGGGGCTCTCAGATGATGACATTTTGCGGGAGAGCGGGTCTGAGCAGGATGTGGACGGAGCTGGGGGGAGGGCGTCTGACGTGGAGGACGAGAGCCTTGCTGCCCGGGGACTGAGCCGGGAGGAGGAAGACCACTCCGACGAGGAGGGCCCAATCAGTGAGCCCCGGTCTCAGGATGTGGACTCCGAGGCTAATGAGCTGAGCGGGGGCCCCACGAGCCCCCCATGCGAAGAGAGGGGCAGGGGAGAGGAGGAGCGGACCAGTGACCTTGGGGACGAGGCATCTTCTGTCACCCGGGAGCTGGACGAACATGAACTTGATTATGATGAGGAGGTCCCCGAGGAGCCCGCACCCGCTGCTCCTGAGGACGGGCTGGAGCGGGCGGGGGCCGAGCGTGACGAAGAGAAGGGGGACGGGGCCCCAGAGGAGGAGGACACGGCGGGCACTGAGACCTTGGAAGGGAAGGAACCCCTGGAGGCTGCAAAGGAAAAAAAAAAAGAGGATGATGACGGGGAGATTGACGACGGGGAGATTGACGTGAGTACTGCTGGGGCGAGGCGGGGGCAGGCGGAGCACTGCTCACCAGGAAACAGCGGGCCCCAGGGGGCGGCTGTCCCCTCTGCAGAGCAGCGAGGTGGGACAGAAGGTTACTGCTCCTGGGGGCACCCCCACAGGGACTGGGAGGCCAGTACCAAAAACCAAGACCAGAACTCGGGCCAGTTTCAGAAACATCCTCTGGCTGGAAGAGTGTCCGGGGCCTTGTTCTCAGTGCCCTGGTAGTGGTGGGGGTGTTCACGTCCTTGACCTTGACAGGACGGTACCACAAGTGACAGTAGGGCTGGGTCACCACGCTGACTCTGGCTGCTCGGGTCCAGCCCGTGTCTCTACATGCACTTGTTCTGTGTCCCCTCTTGTGACACCACAGTCAGCGTGTGCGCTGCTTCCCACCCCATCTCTGGGGGAACCAGCAGTGTGCATGTTGATTTCATCACCAGCGGCCAGGCTCAGACCTACTCCTGGGCATCCAGGCCTCTGTCCATTAGTGGGGCTCCTGGAAGGTAGCCATTCCAGAAAGAAGCCCTAGTGGAACAGTGCTTAAAGCGCTCAGTGGCCAACCCAGAGGGCAGCAGTTGGAACCCAGCAGCCCCTCCACGGGAGAAATATAGGGCAGTAGGCATCCATAAAGGCCACAGCAGTGGACACCTTGGAAAAGTCTAGAGAGCCATCTGCCTTGTCATCTTTCTGACTTTCCTTTTGGGTTTTCTGCCTTGTAAGGTGATGGGGCTGTCCTTCCCTTTCCCAGTTTCTTTCCCCCTCAGTACGCTATCCTCAGTGGTGACACGGATCGGTGTCTTAAGAAATCCCTTTGTCTAAACCTCAAGGTGTGTGCTGGCGAAACTGCTCTCTGACAGGGGCCTCTTTCTGCAAGGACCTCTTCCCTGCTGGGGCGTGTGGTGTCCTATGTTTGCTCATGTTGCATTCCACCTGTCCCTTCTGTTCTTGGATTTAGCATTGCACATGCTGGGCTAGGGCTGCTACTCCCAGCACTGGGGCTGCTTGTGCCCCCACTGACCACTGATCCCATCCTGGACGTCACACACGCACATCCACCCTCCCCTGGGGCCTTGTTTCTACGGAACTTGCCTGCCATGTGATGGCCTGCCTTCTGCCGTCTGGTTAGTCTCTTGCGTGGCCGTCCTCCCTCTGAGGTTTGGGGAGCACTGGTTGGTCTCCTCTCTGCTTGAGTCTGCTCTGGGATTGGCCTTCAAAGGGGCGTCCACTGTGCTGGTCGGTGCAGCATCACCTTTGCTCTTGTCAGTCTCCCTCATTGTGGTTAGTGGAACCTCAGGCAGTCCCCAGACCCCCAGACATCCATGGGGGCTCCACTTCCAGGTGACCCTCTTACCGGCGACGTCTGCTCTCTGATGGCAGCAGCGCAGTAGGCATGAGACTCAGTGAACCGTTGCACACCTGTTCAGCCATACCTGGTGGCTCACTGCTCACCTCTGGCAAGATGCTTGAAGCATCTTGGTGTGTGGTATCTTTGTTTGCTCGCGTTGCACTCCACCTGTCTGTCCCTCCTGGGCCTGGATTCAGCCCCGGAAGCTCTCCTTCCTCCTTCCTCAGGGGTCTGAGTTTTCTCTCTGGAAGGGCTGTCTCCAGGTCCTTGTGCCCACTTCTTGTGCCCCCCTCGAGGTGTAGGGTTCCAGCAGACCCCACACACATACATGCTCAGGAGAGGACAAGCCTGAGTGTGATCGGCTGGGATTGCTAGTCCTCCCACACCTGCTGGCTGGGGGGCTCTTCCCCACTGTGTCCATGCAGCCCCACCTGCTCACAGGTGAGAGTTCCAGGTAGCCTGAGAACTGGGCAGGGTGAGCTGGCGTGAGGGTTCCGTGGCCTCGTCTTTGTTCCTGTTGTGTGACAGGTGCACGTTCCCCTGCAGAAATAGTGCTGGCCATCCCAGGGGCTGTTTCAGCCCTCTGTACTGCAGGGTTTCTGAGGGCCAGAATCACGTGTGGCCACGAGGGTTTTGGGGGTGGGGGGACAGGCCCCACTAAATGGAGGAGGGTGCCCATGAAGGCCAGGAGGCAAGACCAAGGTCCCCACAGGCTTCTGTGAGGTTTCATTCCATGCTTGTGTCCATTCTGGGATGGGGCAGTGTCACACGGACATCATCTCTGCCTTTGTCACTGGGGCTTCAGTGTTTGAGAGAGCTTTGATGTGTAGCTCGTGAATAAAACACGCCACTGTTTCCAAATAGGAGAATAAAAGTCCATGTGAAGAGGTGACGATCACCTGTCTGTTGTTGCCGTAGCTAATCATGGAAACTTCCTCAGGGCCCTTCTGTTGCACCAGCACCTTCCGTCCTCAGGGCGCTGCTCACTCATGTGTCATGTCTAGGTGGCACTGTGTGAGGACCTTGCAGGGCACTGCTCACTCATGTGTTTGTACGAGGTGCCGCGAGAAGACCCCACGGGGTGCTGCTTCCTTGTGTGTCGTGTTTGTGTGAGGACCTCGCAGGAGGCATCCCAGTGAAGTCCACGGTGGCCTACAAAGAAGATGTTTTGTGCTCTTCAGAGAAGCCAAGTCTGAGGCGAGCAGTGTCCACATCACACCACAGCCGGGACGGGGCAGAGGTGGAGCGGTGCTCATGTCACCCGCAGCTGGGACAGAGGTGGAACGGTGCTCATGTCACCCGCAGCTGGGACAGAGGTGGAACGGTGCTCATGTCACCCGCAGCTGGGACAGAGGTGGA